TGATGTAAAGCTTAGGGCAGTAGTATAAAAGGGCAGCAGAAGGAGAGGGAAAGCTAGCACATCTAGGGGCGCTGTACACATTGTGTCAGCCACTGGAACCGTTGCTCTGATAGCCGTGGAGGTTAGACTGTGTACAAACGATAGATTGCTTTGAACGAATTGGATCAGAATCAGAACACGGCAATTGATAGAACACGGCAATAGTCAGAACACGGCAATAGTCAGAACATGGCAAACAGACCCAGAACATTGAACAGAACACTGAAACCGTCGAAAGACACAAAAAGCGCAGACTTAACGGTCTTAAAACCTACCCTATACTGTCTCCTTGACGTCCTAGACGTTACTTGTCCAATACAACTTGACTTGACCAGTCAAACCTTGCAAAAGCGCGAGCGACCCTTAGTTAACTAAGTGATTGACCGAGAAACTAGCTGCTATCAAGTCTAATACTTGACTTACACCCCCGAACTTGCACTCTGACTCTCTCTATTGAGTGGTTAGTTGTTGATAGTGTTGTGTGTTGTGTGTGGTTTAGAGTTCATAGCTCTGCTGCATTAGCATTTCACATTTCGCATTCACACATACCTGAGAGTTAGCGTTTCATCAGGGCGAGCAATGGGATGGGATGGGATGTGGATGGTGCGGAACGGTGGAGCAGCCAGATTAATATATCTCGGCCCTCGGGTGGGCTGTCTGGCTCCAAGAGACTAAGTATGTAGGTGCAGGTCAATTGTCAAGGTATTGTAATGGTAGGCAACCATGGCATGGCATGGCATAGTCTCTCGTAGACAGATGCAGATGCTTTGGTAAGTTTGACCTTGTGCCTCAGTTTGTTGTTTACTAAAAGCACTGAAAACTTGTTATACTGGTGCTCCCAAAACTAAAGTACAAGTTTAGTTTAGTTTGGGCCTGAATGATATTACAGCCCTGCTGAATTTGTACATGTGCAACACTGATATACGGTGATTTCCCTTGCTCTAAACATTCGTTTCTTGGTTGGCAGGGAGTCGGCACAGTTTGCTGATAAGCATGCAAATTGCCAACACATGAAATTTATCAATTTTAGTGTTCTTGTTATACTTACCAAGATATCTTGCCCATTAAGAGCCATAGTGAGGTCCGGGCTGTTGGCTAAAGGTGTGTCAAAGCAAGGTACATTGTAAAGATCTATCAAGTCACCGATACCACGAGGGTCAACGAAGCTGCGGTGGCTTGAAAGCACAAGTCCAACCATTCAATTGAATTGGGACACATATTGCACGCTATAATCAAGGACATAATGCACATTATCCATTTAGGGAATGTTGGGGATCATGTTTGCAGGAAACAGGCCAAGTGAGGCATTTGGGCTGAACATCCAGAGATAGCTGACAAAGATTAGATACTGGGATTCTCCGTATCAACACTTTGACCACAGGATGTGTTGCGTGACAAAGGCATCATCAGGCAGAGATACAGGACAACCTGCCTATTAATGGCTATAGGGCTAAGCTGGTCGGCCCAGGCAATCTCTACCACAATTTATCTGGACATACCATGTTTGGCAGGTCCAAAGATATCAAGTCCATCAAGATATGATGGCAACACCCTAAAACACAAAGATAGATGTCTGGCTCTCGGGATCGATAACTAGGTCCGTTTATCCATATATACCAGAATGAGCTGATTGTAATATTTCTTTCTTTTATCATGTGATGTATAATTCTTGTATAAATACAGGCAGGTTTCAACTGGAAAGCCAGTGAATCCACGCTCTCTTTGCTAGATGTACACAGCATTGCTGGTATTGTTGTCGGAGGAAGTCTTGTATTCATTCGGGGTACCATTAGGAACTTGTTAGTTCTTTCTGTTATTCTCGGTCAGTATATTGTTGGTTGTTGGATCATATCTATTTAAAGTGCCAGAACCTTAAGGAAACCAGAATCATATTGGGTCATTTCAGGTTTCATATTGGGTTTCATAAGGATAAAAGGCAAACGGATTGGTAGAACACGGAACATTATAAGGAATATTAAGAACACTGAACAGATAACAAAGTCTTAGGATCTACTCCACCACCCTAGTCGCTGTGATTCAGACTGCGGTGCTATTGCTGGCAAGTTGGTTTGTTGCTTGGCAGACTCAGCAGTTCGTCCTCTAGGGGGAAATTTGTGTGTCGGAAGTCTCTCGACGGCCGCGGAATTTGTGGTTTATAAATGTGGTGGTGTACAAACTACTCCGTCTCGCAACGGAGGAATCCTAAGGTCAGTGATTCCTTCCCTGTGGGAGAGAAAAGCCTTCCAGTAACACTGCTTTTCCGTTCTACACTCGAGAATGAGAGAGGTCGGTCCCAATGTGATGCGGAGGGAAGCGCTGGCGTTAGTCTGGGGTATGTCGGTCCTGTTTTTAAAGTCTCCGCCATCGTATTTCCCGACTTCGGAGTGTTTACCAAACACAAATGTAGGGCAGGTCCGCTGTGATTGTCGTTATTCCGCACAATCCCTGCTTTGTTCCTTTCTTCTGCCTCTACAGAGAATTCCCTTTTTCCGTCAAAGAGTCCGCTCCTTTGAAAGTTTCCTGAATGGTGTGCCATCGTTCTCCTGCTCTACTGTAGGACCAGGTGTCCTGATGGGGTTTGAACGGCTACACACAAATACGACAGAGTCGTCTGCTGCATCATTCGTAGTGGGAGTTCTGCTCCGCTTGGGTCTATGCAGCGACAGAGGAGGCAAACATCGAATAAGGGTGGGGTATAAGTGTCTCCGCTGCGAGGAAACGGTGGCGGAGTGAGGCAGAAGGGAAGGAAAGGTGTTCCCTTCAGTCTTGGTGACCTTAGGTTCTTTGCATTGACTGTTCCCTTCTGTTCTAGAGCGGTTTTAAATGCTTAGATTGCAAGGGGAGAACTAGATACCATTGCTACAAATTCTACTTCGTATTTATACCCCAGCGGAGCCCAGTACACTGCCTTCCCAGGAGTAATGTTGAGCCTCCGCTGACTGCGTTGTGCATGAAACAGCTTGGTGGAACCTCGTGCTGGTAGCTTGACACAGCGTACCTGAGTCATACTTCTGCCAGCGGAATTCCCTCTTTTCCATGGCGGAACAAGGGGACCCTAGTGGTATTTTGATCGAGCCGGTGATAAGCTGCGAAATTTGCGAAACCTCAAATTTTACAAATGCATGACATTCAGCGCTCATCGAGAGGTTGGCGTGAGCTCCAAACGTGCAACGTAGAGCCATATTGCATTATCATCTTAAACTGGCAATAGCAGCTTATTCCTGGAAGCTTCACCTTTGGGACACTTGAGGGTTGAATCCGGATTAAGGCTCAAAGCCCATACATCAAAGTCTTGAAACACCCTCTATACGTGGGGAGGCAAAGCAATGCTCACTATCAAAGAGAGAATCATATTATTCACCTCTGGCATTTATTGGCATGCTGGGAACCTTATTCGGGAGGGAAACACCTAGTTGTTTACACGACTTTGGCTTACCCGACGCGACACGATGGGTCACCTGATCAAGGCCTGGACCTACAATTATTACTCCTATACACTGGATCCGCAACAGCGCGATCACCTGATAAGCCGCAGACCAGATTAAGCTTGTGCTGCGTGTTTCTGGATACCGATTAAGGGCATCCAAGGTATCATTGGAAAGGTATTAAACCATACAATCCAGTCAACGATACTAGAAGTTGAGGCATCTACCACAGAGGAAGATATGGGTCAATTATCCTATTCAGGGGACTAATTACACATATAATCCCCTGATCGACGGGAGTCATTATATGGACATATAGGAGAGCTCGAGTAGCGAATAAGGGTGCCAGGACGCGCGCAGCTGATACCGATTGCAGGCTAATTAATTAAGTAGAATACCCGAGGCCTAGTAATCACGCACATGTAATAGTTTTTGTACAGTATATAAGGAGGGCAGAACCAGGGAGGACGGCACTGAACCAGACCCCAGAAAGTGAGGAGCAATACAGCCCTTGCGTACAGAGTTGAAGTTTAGGCTTGAATCTTTGGCTGTCAATTAGTCTCAGAATTTAAGTTCGGTTTTGAAATAGCATCAGTGGGATTTATAAGTGTCAGTTACGGGGCGTGAGCCATACCAAGTTTGAGGTGTGAGCCATTGTGTGTGTTTTGAGGCGTGAGCCATAGTTACAGGGCGCGAGCCAAGCAAGTTTGAGGCGCGAGCCAAGTCAGTGGAATAAGGCGTGAGCCAAACAACCGGTCTAAACAGCCCACCGGATTAATAGTCCACCAAAAGAAACCGGTCTAGAGCCGTTATATCTGCATAGTTGGGAAACTTAAATCCACGTTGGGAACCAACCGATAAATTCAGGTTGTGTCTTGAACGCCACTTCAAGAAACTAGTTGAGACTTAGCCACCCTTGTGGGAACGGGAATTGAATACTTTCATGCAAAAAGACCCGAATCTCGTCAGTGCATCAAGGTCATTAAGGGAGTGTGTTGGTGTTGGAGTCTGTCTATTGTCGGTTTAGTCGTGCTTAATCTCACTTTGTGAGTTAGGTGTAACTCAGTCGTTCGATAGGGGGGATTTTGGCAGTTGCATATTTAGACCGTTGAACCTGAGCAACCCTTTCAACGTCGAGCGGAAGTGATCAACACCCGATCGCGCAATGACCGGAGTCACCAAACCGATCGCGGTCACCAACATCTGCTATAGAACACAAGCCCTCCACGGAATCAGACTCCTTGATGTTAACCTTCGGTTATCAACCCGTTCAGGATATTGTGGTTCAGCCATCAGTTATATCTTCCCGTTCAGGCAATTTCCGCTTAGCGGAATCACATTCCGATGGTCCTGCCTTCTTCAATAGTGCCAGGTTCGAGATTCCGCCGCCATGAACCCTGTCGGTCATTCCTTATTACTGGATGGGATTCCGCCATGCGTTCCCTCGCAGTGGAGTTGATCCATGTGTGCGTGGGTTTCTTTAGTCAGAGGGGATTTGTAATTTGAGGAATAATCCTCTGTTTCCGTATCTGTATCGGTTCCGTAGCGTAAGGGTTAACGCGCCGCGAACACCTGAGACCAAGGATACTGCGGAGACTCCAGGTTTGAGTCCTGGCGGGGCCGTCTGTCTTGAATGATTCGGTTTTTGACTTTCCGATGCGACTTGTTTTCCACTGCAATTCTGGTGGATGTTTCTTGTTCGGTATCAGTGGATAGGAAATTCGAGCGACAGAATGGTTTTCAAAGCGGCGGAAATCGACTTTACATGCTTTTATCGTTGACAGAATGTGTTTTCGAAGCGGCGGAGTTGACGGAACATGTTCTTCAAGCGGCGGAAGGGCTGAATTGGTGACCTAACGGTGTTTCCATGCTTTTATCGTTGACGGAATATGTCCTTCGAGACAACCTCTGTGCCCATCCGCATATCCGTGCCGTAGCATAGGGTGTTGCACCGCGGTTTACTTGAGGCACAACAGATTGTTTTGCGGATGTCCCGGGTTCGACTCCTGGTGGTGCCATCTCTTTTTAATTTGTTGTAGTAAGGGGATATCTGCTTCCCCCAGTTGTTTCCGCTGCCATGGGGAATATTACGAGTTTCCGGAGTCGGCGTGTGGAGCCGGCTCACATCACATAAAACCCTCTTGGCTATCTCTAGACCTCGTCAGAGTCACTAGATCAGCTATTTGGATTGTTACCATTACTTTCGTGAAAGTAACTATTACACAGTTTTGGCCCAAACAGTAACCTAATACTTGGTTCAACCCCTGTACTCACACCGTTTATTGTTTGGATCTGTGTTGGTTTAGTGTGTTTTGGTGCTTTAAGCATTGATATACATTTGGCTTCATTTCACCCCAGTTCGATTAGTCAGTGTTTCATCGTATCTCAAGTGTGGGCATGGGTACGTAAAAGTCAAGTGGGATCTTGCATTTGAAATATAATGCTTGATGAAACATGTACTTCGGGTGCAGCACATCGTTTCTGTAGCCATTCCAGTATTGCTGAAAACCAGTTGTGCAAGAGCTCCATGCTCTCCGTTGTGGTGGTCCATGTCTTCACGCATTGCATTGCTAACATTCTTTATGCGGACTCGGCCGATTTCGATCTGTGCAAAATAACCGGCTGTCCTGGTGTTGTATCTAAAGAACATGTGTCTCGCCGGCAGCCAATGCGGGCGCACACTGGCTTCTCTGACAGACTGATTGGGAAATGAAATACAGTTGCAAGTCAACTCAGTTTTTTGCTGTCTTGCCATACTGCTCCCTATTCCTTCTGAAGCTCCGGGCTTGAAACCGCACAAGTTTTGGAAGTGCGTTGTGTGCACAATCTACTTTTCTTCCTCGCATGGATCGCGGAAGCGAAAATATTCACTGACAGAGTTTAGAAGCGACAATCAATGCAATTTTAGAAAGAGTTGTGATTTCGGGCGGATCTTGTTTGCGATATGATACTGTGTTTGGACCGCGAGACAGTTGGTAATGTTCAGTGTGAGTATGATCCCATTCTTTACATTTGCAGCGGTACTGTAAACCTTAGATCTAACCCAAAACCGGTCCTACGCGCAAATTGATGCACGAAAAATCAAAGATCTGCACAACAGGAGCAACTGCCTTTGACTGGGCACAGAAAAACGAGGAGATGACACCCCGGGGTAAATGATGTGAATAACAATATTCCAGAACAAAATTTAAGAACAAAATCTGCGGCGTGGCCCGAGTCGAACAGAGTATTTACAAAGTACTTACATTACATAGATTCGGGAACCCGGTACATTCAAATCAAACACGGTAGATCCCATCAATGTGCCGCTCTTTGAATCAAAGGCGGCACTTGCCATTTGGGAATGTACCGTGTGTCGGTAAAGCCTCCTTTTGACGTGTCAGATCCCCCGTTTTCCTTCTATTCTCCTCTCACCACCACTCCTCACCTCAGCGCGCCGCCGACACGTCAAAATGCCCCCGAGCAAGAATACCTTGATAGCCTGTCCACTCGCCAGTCAATGGATTTTCGAAATTATCCAATTCTGGGTTCGACGTGTTGACAACGCGTTTATCCACAGGACCACAATCCCGGCTCCAGTTCACATCAAAATTGGATTGACCCCGCTGTCTGTTCCGCCTGGGCCAGCTTCCATAGTCAAATTGGACTCGGAGCCCCAGGCAATTAGTGTCCCACCCTGAACAAGGACGGGTGAGACGTTTTTGAGCTCCTTTCGGATTCAGAGCCTCAGAGGCGCTTGAAAAGCGAGTTAATTACCACAAAATTCCTTGTTTATCGCTGACTACTATACAGCCGGCGCAAGGTTGACATGAATGTTGCACAGGAGATCCAGATGTCGCTGCAAGCGGGTATCCTCTCCAACTCCAAGAACGAATTCTCCTATCGCATGGCTCGCAACAGCCAACGCCAAGCTGCCACAGCACGCAGAGCACGCGAGAAGGCCTCAACCGGTAAGCGGGTGAAGTCCAAGGCAATAGCAGCTGTTCTTTCCGCGTGCTCAAGTGGACGGGTAAAAACGGTGAAGCAGTGGAAAAGTACTTTTCTTTGATTTGTGCTGAAAATACAGTTCTAACCAAGTTTTAGACATGCATGTGCGACCCGCACAGCTCGAGTCAGACAATTCTTTGACCCCAAGTACGTTTCTTTTATTCATGCTGCAAATACAAGTTTTAACGAAGTTTCAGACGCACCTGTGCAACTCACCCAGCCCGAGTCGGACAATTCTTTGACCCCCAGTACTTTTCTTTGACTCCTGCTGCAATTACGTTCTAACCAAAATTTAGACGCATCTGTACAACCCGAGTCCGAGTCAAGTAACCCTTTGATCACAACACAATCGGAAGACCTGCCAATCCCTTTCAATTGTGGTGCAACTTCCAGTTAACCCTGAATTTTGTTTCAATGTCAACTTACTCCTGGCTACTGTACTATTTCGACCAAAGGTTCAGTGACGGGTGACACCCAGATTTTTTTGATGTGTCAATAAATTGCGTTAAATCGAAACAAAATTTATCGGTCTTCTCGGTTGAAAATTTTCTTAAAATTAGTGAACCTTTGGCCGAAATAGTACAGTAGTCTCGAGAACTCAAACCTTTCATTTTTGCGCCGGAGACTACTTCTAGCTCACAGCTCCCGACATTTGATCCCACTATCGACTCTGCCATCTTCAGCTTACCAGGGGGAATTTAAACACCCTGATGCCTTCAAGTTTTAGTATGCCTACCACAGATCCCCTCGACGAATTTATGGCTATGTGTATGGCAACAGGGACCAGGCAGCTTCACATTTCGCCTCAAATTGATGTAGATCACTCTCATCAGTGCACCGCATGTTCGGCATTGTAGATAGGACCCCTGGCACACCTCTCTCGTCATATGACCTACAAGAACGAACACCCAGTATACAGATCAAATTCGGCTAGTTACTGGTGGGGTGGGTAAATTCGTCAGCAGAATAATAAAATTCCAAAATGGAAAGAGGGAGGGAGAAGAGAGAGGGAAGATTCACACCAGCTATTTTACAAATATTGGATGGGGGTCAGGATTCATTCATATCTACATAATTGCTTCCTCACATATATTTTTTCCGGCCTGCGGCGCAAATTTGAACAGAGCAGCCTTAGCCGTGCCCTGTCAAGAAAATAGTGGGCAATTGCCGTTTTGGATTAAATGGACCGGGTACTCGTGTGTTGCCGATGCCGGTCCCGTGATTGATGAAGATACTGGGCCGTCTCAAAAAGGGCCCGAGGTACAACCTGTGTAAATAACGCGTCAACTTTCAATGTGCTGACGCGTCATAAAGTCATCCACTCAGGGCCTACCCTATAACCTTTCACCACCTTTCCAGACCTTCCAGAATTTGCCCAATTGTGTCTGATTTGAACTTAATTATATTTAAACTGACCTCAAGGCTCAGTTGGGCCGCGAAAATTGTAATGATGTCATGCAGATGCAGGCATTCAATTTGGTAGCTGGTTTCATCTTGAGTAGAAGCTAAATGATCATATGAATTTAGAATCTATAGACTGGGTCTTGTGGTTAGAAAAAAATTTGGCTGATTTGAACCTTGTTGACTCCAATCCCAGTGCCGTTCACGCAGGCTTGGTGATATCATCTTGTGCTGAAACGGCTTTGGACCTGTGCTTTTGTTTTGTTGAAGAATGACCCGTACACTCCTGAACATTGCACTTCTCACAAACACTGCACTTCTCACAATCCCAGCAACGATTGGTCACCAGTACTACCAACTGTCAAAAGGCCTAGCAGCAAGCGGTGCACATCTACATTCGTTTGACTGTGAGACTACTAAACTGCTCGGATAATTTGGTCTGCAGAGAATGAAGCTTTACTGCCGGCTGGGTGTTTCAAGAACCCGAGCCTTTGATTTTACAGTCTGATACTCCCTAAATTATCCAGGCACATATTCAACTCAGACTCTCTGAGTCATAAGGCAGTTACTCTCCACTTCCCCTCATGCCTTTGGCCTGGCCCATCTGAAGAGTCAAACACTAGGTACGTCTCTCACTGCTACCTACCTAGTACTTCCAACATATGTATGCACCATATTAAGTATCTAGGTACCACCGCTAGGGCAGATTCAAACATTTCTGAGGCTCCAGGTTTGTATGAATCATACATCCTTCTCTTCATAATATGCTAATATCTTCAGATATGATATATATCTAGTGTTGTATGTGAACTATAACTATGTACCTAGCTAATCTGAATCAAATGCAATCAGTTCCTCCAAGTCAATGGCCTTCTTCTTCTTTGGTGAAGCCCTCTGTCTTATACCCAATGTCCGTGTTGCCTGGGTTTGCAACAATCTAGCCGCATCTGGCCCATCGAATTTAGCCTGCAGGCGCTTGCTCTTCATAGTGAATGAGGTATCATGGGCTTTGTCTTTTCCCTTCATGTCTCTCCTCACTTTCTTCCTCTTCGCTTTCTGCCTTTCTTCCCTCCTTTCTGCCTTCCTATCATCCCTAACCTTTTTCAGCACCTCCTCATTTGTTGGCTCCCGTCCCAGTGATCCTCTCAACTCTTTTGTTGCTTCTGAGCGCAAATCCATTTCTTTTTTGATCTGGGTTTGAGTCCCCTTTCGTATGCCAATGTGAGGATTTCGAT